GGTGAGCTAAAAATGCTACCGAGTGAGTAAATTACTGTACTACATAACCTGTGATTGCAGAAAGATTCCAACATTAAATCACCTGAGGTATTCCAGACCTGCTTCATCAATGAGCTTGAAAAATTGGCCAATGCCAGATCCTGTGACAGCTGATATTCCTACTGACTGTAAGAAAACAATAGCAATTGTTAATTTAATATGCAAAATTATTTAAGACTAAGCAAGTTCTAGATGATTATTAGGGACAGATTAGAATGCAAAATAACAAATGGAGAGCTATAGGTTGGAAAAAGCTGGACAGCTAGAGAAGAGAGAGAGAGAGAGAGAGAGAGAGAGAGAGAGANGAGAGAGAGAGCGAGAGAGACAAAGGGAGAGAGAGAGCGAGAGAGACAAAGGGAGAGAGAAATAGAAAGAGGAAGAAAGCACGAGGACAAACCTTAAGATCACTGTAGAAGTCATCTAGAACTAGACTCATTGAGCGTGTAAGGTTGGACACATAAGATGTCTCACTGTCAAGAGCTTGCTGGAAAATCTCAAAATCCGTCATCCAATCCACTGCAAACTGGTTATCCACTACATCAACCTATAATGCAACACACATGATATATAACAGGTATTAATCTATTTCAAGTTAGATTTTAAGCATAGAAAATTATTAACAATATCAATATTTTATTTACACAGTAACATATCTGTTTAAAATGATAAAATAGCCAACCATAGCAAGGTAATTGTAGGGTTTTTAAAATAGGGAGAATCTAACCTTCATATAACATGCATTCTGAGCATGAAGGTGTTTAGTTTGATAATATTAAGTGTTTGTGATATTATGATTTAATTCGTTATACTATAGTAAATAATCGAATGCTATCAGCAGGGTGGGTCTGGTAACTGGATATCTGACCCAACTTGGCTTCACCCTTGTAGTGGCAATACATTGACGCACTGCGCCCCCTATATTCAGTTCAGTCACTCGCTCCAGAATCCATGCAAAAGATGGGTCATCCCGCACATCCCTCTGACGACCGTAGATTAATGCAGCCTTTTCAATCCCACTCCAGGAGAACACCCATCTAACTCAGTCACTGTACTCACTTTTCATTTCTTAGTGATTAAACTTATGGATTACCATAATTATTCATAATTATGACTGCATCTAATTAATGACGTCTGGCTAAGATTCTACAACTAACAAACTCACCTTGTTCATAGCAACTATGAAGGGGAGTTTATACTTGTACATGATGCTGCAGGCATAGAGCATGTTAGACATGAATGTGACTGGATTGACACTACGTGGTGTGTCCATCACATAAACAATCACTGTAGGAAATGCAGATGCCTGTGAAGAGAGAAACGAATCAACAGTGAACACTCGAAAACACATGCACAACTTATTTTTACACATAATTTTACTCGTTATGCTAGGGTGTTTAATTATAATAGTTAAATCCTTCCCACGCCTATATGGCGTATAGGGCGGTGACTATCTCCTTTTCAGTAACCCTGAGGCCCCGCAGCTGCTTTCACAGTAAATGCTACAGTAGAAGGGTTAGTCCACTGGTAGCACTGCGAGTTAACTTGCCACACTCTCTATTTGCTGAATGCTAATCAGAGAAGCCGTGTGTACCATTTTTCAAGTCTTTGGTATGACCTGGCCTAGAGTTGAACCCCCGACCTTCCACATGCGAGGCGAGCACTTTACCATTGAGCCATCGCTGTGGTACTTGTTTAATTATATAACACTAGTTTAACTTTAATCAGAAAGTGATAAATTAAAGTATATGTCCTTTTATAAAATTACATTATGTAGTATATTCTGAAGCTCATAAGCATTTCTTTAATGGTGCTGCCACCTCGTGCTAATTTACTGCATCATCTAAATGTATGGGCCTACTGTACAAGCTTGATTTGCAAAACGAGCCAGGAAAGGTTCTGTGGCCTGAACCATCACTAAGAACAACCATGTAGCAAGATGACATGCAGCACAAAGCGCCTTGGCTATAGGAGTTAATAACAGTACGTATTGATTGGTAGCTCAGAGGTTGATACGCTTGATACGCACTCCCTACTTGCATTCCAGCAGTGAAATGCGACTTACATACATGGATTTTAAATAAGACACAAAACGCATACAAATACGAAATTGGAGCCAAATTAGCACATCCAGAGAGAGGAGTGATGTAAGACCCTTTATCGGAGCCCAGCCCCACATATTAGTGCTTCAGACGACACTTTCTGGCTTCTCTAGTGATTACCAAATACTATAGGTCAAACGTAAGTGTCAAATCTTTATGTATGACAGCCCCAGATTTTTTCTAAGTAGGCATCAGAAGATCGGCTACAGTACCTGCTTTGCATAGATGTCGAGTATATACAGCAGTTGAGAATACCTCAATAGTGTACTCTGATATATATATGAAACCGCACATTCTAAGATACATAGCTCTTTAGTCATATTCAAACATGATTTTGAAACCCTGTTTCATTCTAAAATAAAATATCTAAAACATCATGCAACAATTAATTTCTGTAATAAGGTAATTTTGTAATGTACACACACTGACATATAGCCCATATGGTCTATGTCCCCCAGGGTACTGCCGGAACGTACCCTGGTAACTATCTGATATGGTTAGGGTTAGGGTTAGGGAGTAGGCGTAGGCGACTCCCTAGACTCGTTAGTGGAGTAGGCGAGGTACGGTCCGGCATATTAGATAGTACCAGGGTACGTTCCGGCAGTACCCTGGTGGACATAGACCCTCTCAGCGACATATATGTGTGTGCACGTGTAAATCAGGAGTGAATAAAAACAATCACTGACACACATTGTTTTTATTCACTCCCGATGTACATATATATGTATACGAATAGACATGTATAAATAAGTAAATAAATAAATAAGTAAATAAATATTTAAAAAAATATATATATATATCGTTGTAATATATAAGGCTGAAGCTAACACAGACTGACCAATGTTTCAGTGATAATCTGCCCAGAGGCTGACCACGTGAACACTTCAATCTGTCCAGGTGTATCCATTATCATGTATCTGAAAGAAAACACTAACTCAATCAGCACCCGTGGTGGTAAGGGGACACTGGCTGTTTGGAACAGATGCGATGTATACATCAGTTGCCATAAATATTCTTAGATTTATTCGCATACATTAAATTACACACTTCCTCTTTAACTTCATATTGCTCCCGCTAAAGGTGTCAGCACAATCTTACTTGCATTCCCCAGACCGCTTAGCCAAGTGATCCATAACCTGGTCAAACTTCATAGAAAACAGATTCAGGGAGGTGACAATTGCACCATTCGGCCCTAACGAGTATCTGTCATATAGTCATGGTTATAATAATGGCTATACTGTCAGTAACAACCCACAATAACAGTGTGTAGTCAATCATACAATATAAAATTAGGTAATTGCAATGAATATCACATTACACCAAATTTAGTAATAAGAGCAATAATATCAAATAATATACTACTAATCGAATTAAGAGTGATACCCAAACAATGTATGATGTTGCGATAAGCAGAAGTGTGCATCAAGGATACTGTTTCATAACTTCTTTGTAATTGACAGTTTCTCTAATGTCTATGTTCGCAGGAAAGGCAACCTCATGAACAGCAGGATCCAAATTGATGACATATGGAGGGCTCTTCTCTTGGTGCAGATATGCTGTTAATCTCTGGAAAAATACAATCACTGTTATACAGATTTTACCATGTATATAATATATACATATATAATATAGTATATATATAGTATTATATATATGATTGATATATATATATAATATATATATATATATATAGTATATATAGATATATGATATATATAGTTAGCATCTCAGGAATAGAATAAAAACAGAACATTGTCCAACAAAACAGCCAAATTAAAACATTGGGACAATGAACATTGAAAACTATCTTCAATTACTCTCTTTTTTTTAACAAAAACTTCCAACAGTTCTCTACTACATTATTTTAGTTATATTGTGGAATTATTACTAACAAGTCAGAGTTTATGAGCCGCATTTCTACCGTAACTGATTCACTCCTACCCCACTTCTACATTACCTGTCATTTTAATACAGGCCTCGAAGATTCATCAGTTTTTATGGCAATGGCACACTCTGTCAATTGACGTCTGGCACATTTTTTTGAGGCACGAAGCAGCCAAATGAAATTATGATGAAGGGGGCATCCAAGGGCCACGCTCTCACAGTTCACCAAAAATAATTTTCCCATCACCTACACCTATACCTAAACCAATGTTGGTGGATTGGATAATTTGGGTTGGTGGATTTCAAACAATATGTAAATTGATTTGATTATATTAAATCACCTCTTAAATAAACAAACCAAAACAAATACAAACAAGTGCGCGCCAGAGCGACAGCGCTCATCTAACGGGTCTTACTGCGGTGACTCCCTGGGCTGGCCAGTGGTGGGATTCTAGTACAACCCTGTTATTCCAAAATGTGTTCACATATACGCCGAAACACGTGGAATGCACAGGTATGGCTATCGGAACCTCTCAAAAGACCTGTCCGTTGGGTCGCTTATTGACAAGTGCCACGGATGAGCGCGTTACGTTTACAGTGTCTTCAGATTAAAGTGGAAGCTCCCCATTATACGTAAGGTTAGCAAAACTATCTGCAAAGACAGAATAGGTAACGCATCATCCATTTACCTACGACAAGCCTAAACAGGGACTGCGCAATAGCAGAAGTGCCACTGTAAGCCAATTAAGGCAAAAACTCACAGTGACCACCAACAATCGCACTGCGTAGCCACTGGCAGTCGCCATACCGCTTACATGTAACATTACTGACACGTACAGGAATTGCAATATAAATTACTTACGATTTAAGGAGCATAAACCTTCTTTAACAATTTAGCTTTTGAATTTCACTGTGACAATTGTAGGTCTCTACATCCAGGAGGTTAGATTCTACTAGCAAAACCCGGAGTCAAATTCCTTTCTAACAGACAGTACCAACAATTCATGTCTTTAACCCTCTCCTTGAGGCGTCAAAAGTTATCTGACACTTACTCTTCGGCACATGTCAGCAGACACAGTAGATTCGACTGGTCCTGTTCAATAATGCATAAATGCCATAGGTCACCGCTGCAAACAAAAAGTTTTTTCAACTCGCTCGTCAGACACCGTCCTCCAGGAAAAAATGTCTAAACTGGCCCCTGCCCAGACGGCGCGCAGCCCGGGCTGCAGTGGGGCGCTGTTTGTACATGACTCTTGACCTGTGACCTGCCAATTTCGCGCAGCAAGTGATGGCTTCGTCACCTACCATCGATGCTCATACACCGACTATCACGAGCCTAGGTCGAGCCGTTTAGATTTGTGCCGCATTCTGCTTTCCGCCTATACCTGTAAGTTAGGAGTAAATGTTGTTCCCCCTTCTTTCTCTTAGCACCTCTGACCTTGACCTTCTTGACCCCAGCTTCTACATCCCAGCTCCGTTTGGTCGATTACCCCCCCCCACGGTCACGAATATCGTGCACCGTACGATTCAGAGCGGTTAGATTGTGTGCCCAACCTGTGACGGCACGGCCACGGACGGACGGTAGCCTCCCACGCACGATCAATGCGATCTACAAGCTGCATCTGACTATGTCAGCGATGAGTAGCACAAAATAAGAAATTTGATGGATTTGAAGATGCAGGCAGAGAGACATTGTACATTGTATTATATTTCATCGTACTTTCACAGGAGTTTTTAGGTCGGAACAAGACAGACACTAGTGGCCCATAAACAATGTGATTTCCTATAGCGGGCTCACGGCCAGTATAACCTGTTGACGCGGCTTAACGGAGGCCATAAAACACTTAATTTTGGGAGTGAGTTAAAATAAAACTTTTTACTGGCCTAATGGAATGTGTATTTTTATACAGTTACTATAATAATTAATAAATTATATTTAATCTGAACCAACCCTCTACGGTTACCTGACGGCTCGGTGACAGATCAGAGTTTACTATGATACTGATTCGGGCTGTAATAGCCACAGTTAGTCTACGAGATCAATCTATAACAACGTTCACGTCCCTCCAAAGTTACACACAGGAAGGCTAGCACCTCACCCTCCACGACTGGCCTACGGCAGTTCCATGAGAGTAATATGTCCATTACATTACCTACTCTGCACCTCCTTTGGTTCCATAAATAGTAAGCATTTAAAAAAAACTACAAGTTTGCATTGTACACAGCTAGAGTTCGCGTCGCTGATTGATGTTAGGTTTATCTTCAAGTCGTAGTGATTGATGCGTTATTTTAAAAATTTGTTGATCAACACATCGATTGACAGAATGTGTGAAATTGTACGGATCTATCTGTGCTTCAGGGTCAGAGGCCCGCGTAGTTACCGGTCAACAACATGCAAGTGCATTCTAACACTCCAATTGTGTTGACCTTTCCTAGTCGTAATGATTCCATATGCATTTCTAAATAATGCCACTTCACACCCATAGATAAGTATATATTACATTTCATTGGAATAATTTTAAGACGTTCAAAGCCACAATAGTCCTTTTAATACGAGTTACTAGTC